ATATATATTAAGAAACAAAAAAATTAGCCCCGGCGCATAGTGGCGCCATGCAAGTAGTCCCAGCAGCTACTTTGGGAGGGCTGAGGCAGCAGGATTGCGCTTGAACCCAGGAGTCTTTGGAGGTTGCTGTGAGCCAGGCTGACGCCACGGCACCTACACTCTAACCTGGGCACCAAAGTGAGATCTGTCTCAAAAAAAAAAAAAAAAAAAAAAAAGGAACAAATTGACTGTTACAAAATACTAACAATCTAGTGTAAGTAGAATTAAAATATATGACAATAGCATAATATCATAAAGTCTGTTGAGGAGAAAATGAAAGTAATATATAATACGATTGAAGTTAGACTGTAGTAAGTTAAAGTTGTACACTATAAACTCTAGAGCAACCACTAAAATTATAAAATGAAGAGTTATAGTCACTAAGCTGAAAGGAATAAAATGAAATCATTAAAATACTCAACCCAAAAGGACAGAAAAATGATACCATTACAACAGCATTTCAAAATACCTAAGGATAAATATGACAAAAGATTGCACAATCTGTATACTGACAAACTACAAAACGTGAGAGAAAATTTCAAAACACCTAAATAAATGGAAAGATATACCACGTTCATAAGTTGCAAGACTCAATAGTGTTAAGATGTTAATTTTCTCCAAAATGATCTACAGATCCAACACCATCCTAATCAATGATCCCGTAGGCTGTTTGTAAAAATTGACAAGCTGATCTGTACATCAATGAAAACTAAGAGTACAAAAATAGTCCATATGTCTATGGAAAACTGATTTCAACAAAGGTGCAAAGGCAATTCAGTGGAGAAAGGGTGGTATTTCAATAAATGGTGCTAGAACAACTGGGTATCCATAGGCAAAAAAATGAACTTTGATCTATACCTTATATCATACATACCTTTGATCTATACCTTATACATACATATCAACTCAAAATAGATCATAGACCTAGACTACAAAACTTCTTGAAGAAAACACAGGAGAAAAATTTATGACTTGAGTTAGGTGATGTCTTATGACATCAAATGCATGATTCATAAAAGAAAAAAACTGACAATTGACCTTTGTTAAAATTAAAACTTTTTTTCAGAAAGACACTTAAGAGAGTGAAAAAATAAGCCATAGACTGAGAGGAACTATTAGCAAAGCACATATCTGATAAAGAGCTTGTATCCAGAACATATTAAGAACCCTGAAAAGCTAATGGTAAGACAACAATCTAATTTTAAAAAATGGGCAAAAGATTAGAACAGAATTTCACCAAGGAAGATACCAGGGATAGCAAATAAGTACATAAAAAGATGCTCAACAACATTAGTCATTAGAGAAATACAAATTAAAAACCAGAATGAAATACCACTACATACACCTCTTAGAATGGCTAAAATTAAAAAAGGCTGATCATACCAAATGTTGGCAACGATGAAAAAGAACCAGAATGCTGGTACATGCTGGTGGGATGTAAAATAGTACAATCTCTTTGGGAAACAGTGTGGAAGTTTCTTAAAAAGTTAAATATGTACCTACTAAATGATCAAGTCATTCCACTCCTAGGTATTTTCTCAGAAAAAATGAAAACATATGTCATAAAAAGACTGGTATGCAAATATTCATAACAGCTTTATTTGTAATAGCCCAAACTGGAAAGAATCCAAATGCCCATAAACAGATGAATAAATACATTGTAGCATATTGATACAATAGACTACTAGTCAGCAATAAAAAGGAATGAGCTACTGATATACACGACATGGATGAATCTCAAGGCAATTATGTCAAGACAAAGAAGCCAGGCAAAAAAGAAATATATACTGTATTTGTATTATTATAAAATTTTAGAAAATGCAAACTAACCAGACAGCAGATCAGTGGTTGCCTGGGATGAAGCAAGGGTGGGAAGGAGGGATTATACAAACACATGATGAAACTTTTGTGGACATGGATATGTCGTTATCTTTTTTTTTTTTTTTTTTTTTTGAGACAGAGTCTCTCTCTGTTGCCCAGGCTAGAGTGAGTGCGTGGCATCAGCCTAGCTCACAGCAACCTCAAACTCCTGGGCTCAAGCGATCCTCCCGCCTCAGCCTCCTGAGTAGCTGGGACTATAGGCATGGACCACCATGCCTGGCAAATTTTTCGTATATCGAGCAATCCGCCCGCCTCGGCCTCCCAGAGTGCTAGGATTACAGGCATGAGCCACCACACCCGGCCTGTGTCAGTTTTTTGGTAGGTTTTAATAGACTGAATTTTCTCCTCACTATAGAAATACTTTCCTCCTCCTTTGAAAACATGGTAATTTTTTGTTCAATGCCAGATATTGCGAATTTTACTTTGTTGGATGCAGATATTTTTTGTATTTCTACAAATACTTTTGAGTTTTATTCTGGGACACAGTTGAGTTACTTGAAAATAGTTCCTTTCAGGTCTTGTTTTTAAAATTTGTTAGGTTGGACCAAAGCAGTGTTTAGTCTAGGACTAATTGTACTCCACTTGTAAAGCAAGACCCTTCACAATACTCTGCCCAGTGCCCCAAGAATTTTGACAGTTTTTTCATTCTTGACTGGTGGAAATTGGCACTATTCACCCTCGGTGAGCTCTGGCTCTTATTCCCTCTAATACTTTTTGTTGATTCCTTCCCCTGCTTTGGGTAGTTTCATCACACACAGTGTACTCATACAATACACAAATTCTCGAGGAACACCCTCTGAAGATCCCTAGAGTTCTCTTTGTGAAGTTCTGTCACTCCAGTACTCTTCTTTTCTGATATCTCTAGCTGCCTTGGTCTTTATAGACTCCATAGCTGCATGTCCTCATATCAGAGAGTCCATCAGACTCCAGCTTGGTTCCCCCTCCCTGCACTAGGGCAGATCAAAAGGAGCAGACATGGGGGAGGCGAGGTTTTAGAGGCTTTTGGGTATTGTGTGGAAGTACCCAAAAGTCCTGACTCGATATTATATGTTGAAGCTATATTCCAGGAAGATGCAGATCACCTGAGCTAGTCCTTGCTGACTGTGTTAAGCAATGGATGGTGATTAGGGATTTTTAATTTTCTGCCTCTGGCCTTGCAACCAACCCACAGATGACTGAGGAAGTTGTCTTTCTTGACTGTGTCCTCACCAATAAATGGATTGGTTTTGATACTGAGCAACTACTGACCCCTATCTACAGCCAAAGGTGGTTTCTCCTGAAAGACTCTAGGGTAACCAAGTGACAGCAAGGCACAATACAAGAAACATTCGCCCCCTGGCTTCAAAAGAGGAAGATGATATCTACGCTCCGCAGGCTTGGTTTTTCGTGACTCCTGACTCTGTTTTGTGCATAACTTTAAACTGAATACCCGGGCCTAGATAACTGATCATTCTGTGCTCCCAAGCTAACACGCCACTCTTACGTGTTACAACTCCCCTTCTGTGGATTTTAGTGTCAAGTGCTATAGTTATCTATTGATTTTAACGTTACAGAGCCATGGGGATTTAGTTTCTCTGATTAACCATCATGCCGCCTTCTCTACATAGACGGGGATCTTAGTTTATTAATCCCATTAGTTATGTCAGGTTTACACAATATTAATTGAAAAATAGAAGTAGTTTATAATTATAATTGTTCACTAGCGTTGTTAATGGAGTATTACCACTAGATATGTTAGTTATTTCATGTACAAATGAACAACAATAAATTTTCTCCGCATTTACTTGAGTATGGATGAGAATGATGATATACTAAAGATGTGATGTCTAGTGATTTACCCTCACCACATACCATGCATCTTCCAACATATTCCTCAAGACATAAAGACAGAGTTCATAGGAAATCATGAATAAGGAAGTTAGCAAGTGACTCACAACATATGCTATGGGCGCCAAAGGCCATCTGCATACACTGATCGCATCACTCTGATGCTCGAAGAGCAACACAGAGACGACGATAAATGTGCTGGGGAATGAAGAGTAGAATATGATGGAGGATGGCAAATTTAGACAATTGTATGGAGGAAGAAAGTCAGTCTTAGAGTAAGAGCTAATATATATATATAATCTATCTTAAGTTAAATTTAAGGCTCGGAATGCATACTTGTCTCGGGGTAGAGGAAAATATTCTCTATGCACTAAAATGAAACTTCTGGAATTACAAAAATAAACAACCATAGTAAGATAAGAAAAAACTGATTATAATCAAGTAGCCCAATTAGTACTATAGATAATTAGATTGTGTGAATTTATACAATGAATCCCTCTCAGGAGACAAGCTGCTACCTCGCTCTAGCCCTCAAGGGAAATGACCACACTAGAAAATTATTACTGAACTCAAGACTATAGATTGTATAAGACACCACAATACTCATATGAGTCTTATATGCCACACAATAAGCTAAAGTCTAAACAATATCTGAAGAAGACAAGCGTGAAGAAGTTCCAACATCATGCTAATCTAATCTATTATAATAGAATGTACAGCCTATAGGTCAGTCTTTGTGGTAGACGCCTAGGCAGAGATTTAGTAACTTAGCTAATAAAGAAATTACAATTACACCACCCATACTACTCTACAACCTACTATGCGGCAGCCATTATCCCCTTCTAGTGAAAAGCCCTCTGGGTCAAGCATCAGGCCCAACGCCGATGTGGGTGTGCAAACCATGATAGCGTCAGCAGATTGGGCTGAAATGCTGGCATCATGTAGATTCTCTGCCAGTCACTTGAGCTGCAAGCAAAGTCTATTGCGAGAAGTGGACTCACCTGGCACAGTACACGTGAGCGCCAGCAAACTCTTTTGCAATAGCTCCCACCCACCCTAGACGCTGTGAGAGAAGCCGCGTTGTCTGTTTTGGAGGTTGTCTGTTGCTCAACGCACTAAATTCGCAGTATAACACAAGGTCCCTGGCAGCCTAACACTAAAAATAGAAGCATGTTTCTCTGACAAAATGACTCTGAGTCAAGTAACCCGAACCAATATTTCGAAGTTTCCATTGCATCACGCAGAATTATCCTTGCATATCTGCACCACGCCTTCGTCCGTGATGCGCTGGGGGAAGGCGGACAGAAGGAAAGATCAGAGCCGGCCGGCGACACTGAACAGGAGCAGCAGGAAATGGGATCTGCTGTTAATTAGCTTTGGTTGCTGGTTACTAGCATTTTATCCTAGTAACTTCTCATAAAACTTCTTATAAGAGAAGCAGAGGGCAGGAAGTACTTGTTACTCTGTACAGCTTTAAATAGTCTAACATTACTAATGGAGAGTAAAAGTTTAAATTCCACCTCCTAAGACATCAAAACTGACATAGATTTGGGGTTTTTTTTCATAAAATCATAAACTCATGATAAAAATCATTAAATAAAGACTCATGAGATTTGCCTAGTTAAGTGACATGTTAACACTTGGTTGAATTCCGCAGGTTAATTCTTAGATATTCACTATATAAATCATATATATAATAATTCATCAAATGTTTGGAGAATAGGAAAATTAAGTAAATCAGTAAGTTATTGATAAATGCCTTAGAATTCTGTATTTAGCCTAATATTCAAAATAATATGTCACTTATGTACACTAACTCAAGCAGAAATAACACACACATCTATATTATATTTCAAGCCATGTGCCAGTGCTAGCTATATCTGAGTCAAGGTCCTACTCTTGGATAGTCCAGGTCCATAAAGTCAAGATTCATCCAGAAGATAGTTCTGTTTCTCCCACCACCAGATACCCTAAAGATTTATGATTCATTTATTAAAAGCCAATGCAAGGCTTTCTCTTACCTCTCTCAAAATCTATTGTCCCCTTGAGAAACCCAGCCAGATGCAGCAAGCATAAGCATCCTCTTCAATTATCAGTCTTCACAATGGCAGTGAAGAAGGACCAACGTTTTTATAAGCTAATGCCCTGATGAAAATGCCACCTTGCTCTGGTCATGTGATTTTCAAAGCATTTTCACATCTGTTATTTCATTTTATCCACTGAGACGTGAGGTGTCATCATCCCCAATTTATAATAAATTAAAAAAGACACTGAGACCTTACAATGACTTGTTCTCATAACTAGTGGTGATTAGTTCATAGCATTCCTGATAGCTTCCCCCAGTACTCTATTCAAAAGAATCAAGAACTGATCTACATTGTTTTTAGGGAGATGTCACGGCTCTGTATTGAGTATGATGCTTTTGTTGTTGTTCGTATTCTTTCATCTTGTGACAAGTCATAGGATGAAAAGTCAGGGTATGGTAACATGGCCATTTGCCAGTCGTCTCAGCCACCCGACCCATAGCAGATCCCTCTAGGAGAGAACACAGGGCAGGACGGTGCTCAGGACGGGCATGCTACTTACCGAGCAGGACTGTAAGTTGAGGCTCACGAGCTCATGGCAGTAATTCTGAATGTGCTTCAGAGCTTCATCTTCTAACTGAGTGGACAGAGAAAATAAGAGAGGGATGGAAACCAGGTAAGGGAATTGGGGCACCATGAAAAATGCAACAGCAGTTCCCAGACGAATGCCCACACCTGACACATACGGTAAACAGCTGCATCGACCCTTTGTACCTGTGTACAGCCCCTGAGGAGCAGGGCTTTCAGGCCTCGACAGCCTCGCACCAGAGCCTCGATGCCATCCTTAGTGATCTGATCACCCAAGAGAGGTTCAGGTACTCAAGGTTTCGGCAGCCCTCACTAAAAGAACAAGAAAGAAAACACCCTGTGTGCCGCCTGTCCTGTAGAGGGTTAATTACCAACTGTGAGTTAGTATATCACAAGCAACTCAGAGGGAACCGGACCTGGGACCTATCTAAGTCACTTATCTCTTGCTCCAATGGGACCATCAGGAAGGCTTCAGATAACCAGAACATTCATAGGTTTGGGCATTTCCCTTGACCATAAACAGCAGACACTCTTACCTGATCCCTTTAAGGAGCTGTTTGTAATAGACACACAGGAAAATCCAATGTTTCAGCTTGGAACAGAATCTGCTAAGGTATAACACGTGCTGCAAAAGAGCAGACGCACTAAGAATTTTGAACCACGTTTCTCTCCCCTCACTTCCCATGGCCACTTAGTGACTAATTAATCCTCATTACTTACCTGTCAGTGATTTTTGTGCACCATTGAGATTTAAATGTTCAATGTTTCGGCAGTTCTGCGCAAAAGTCCTAAAATGAGAAAACATTGTAAAATTCCCTGCAAATTGCTAGGCGGCCACTAGAGGGCACGTGTAACCATTCACACTTACAATAGTGCCCTCAAACTTCGATTAATGTGTACACAAATCGGCTAGGGCTTTGTCACAGTGCAGATTCTGAGGCGGGGCTTGACAGTGTGCAGTCCTAAGACACTGTCCGGTGATGCCAGTGCTGCTAGTTTGGGACCACACTTTAAGAAGCAAAGCCCTGGACTACTACCTATCAGTTCTCCTTCAGCCACACCTTGATGAGTCATCTGAGAATGGAGGTCTGGCTCTGTTTCTTCCTCTCTGTAGAAAAATCAGTTTGGGCCCAGCACAGTGGCTCACGCCTGTAATCCTAGCACTCTAGGAGGCTGAGGCGGGTGATCGCTCAAAGTCAGGAGTTCGAAACCAGCCTGAACAAGAGCCAGACCCCGTCTTCTACTAAATAGGCAAATTAATTGACCAACTAAAAATATATACACAAAAAATTAGCCGGGCATGGTGGCACAGTATGCCTGTAGTCCCAGCTATTCAGGAGGTTGAGGCAGAAGGATCGCCTGAGCCCAGGAGTTTGAGGTTGCTGTGAGCTAGGCTGACGCCATGGCACTCACTCTAGCCCAGGCAACAGAGTGAGACTCTGACAAAAAAAAAATACTTAAAAAAAAAAAAAGAAAGAAAATCAGTTTGAAC